AAGACAGGCCGTGTGACGAGACATGAAGAGAAGATAATACTACAAAAGCATCTGTAGACAGAGACTTGAGATGTATCACGGGTACATAAATTATTCAATGTCTGTGCAACAATGACTCAACAACAAAGTTACCTTCAAATAATAGTGGGGGCGTGGTGACCATGACCTCAGCAATGGAAGCAGAATTCAATCAGCGAGCAGGAAAACAAAAAGGAACTCTAAAACCACAGCCCCTTTCGCAACACAGGACCATGGAAAAGCGTATGTGTGTTTACCGTGTCACAGCTTCTAGCCTGGCTTACAACTTTTTATTGCAAGTCATTCTCTCTTTGTTGCCTTTCTGGTCTCCCTCCCTCTCTCTCTCTCCCTGCTGCTACTGCATTTTTAATCTCTATTTGCCACAGGAAATTCAATACCGTTAAACCAATACGTTTAACCCTAAGTGGGCAACATTGAATGATACTGACAAGAAATTAAAAAGTGGAAAACACAATTTGACATTAAAAAATCTAAGGTAATACTGATGATAAATTGCCAGCAAAATTGGCAGTGTAGATTTACAGAAAAGTGGATCACCTCAAGGATCGTGCACTGGCATGTTAACATCAATACTTGCAATGTGATTGCAGCAGACCACAGGTACACAGGGTGCATTTTTTCCATGTCAGATCAGAGCAATTCTTTTGATCGAAGCTCCTGGTGAAACAAGGGGAGAATAAAATAATGAAAATGAGCTCACCTTCCCAGAGTCCATTGCAGTGATGACCCACACACAGTGTGCGTTGTTCTCATATTGAACAGGGTAGTTAGGAGAAGTTATGACCCCTCTGGGCCCCCTTAGGTTACTGCCACAGGTACGTGCTACAGAAAAAGAGAGACAGAGCAACAAAAAGTTTTTAAAAGGATTTATAGGGTAATCAACATTATGCTCACAGGTGCAAATAGCTTCTTACCTTAAAAAGAGAAAAGGAAGTGGGTGTGGTAGTGACAGAGAAAAAAGATAATGACAAAATCCTTTCAACTGTATTTAAAGGACACTTTTGGTAGCCCTACATATTTTTGTTTCAGCTTGGTGAACATATTTAAAATGACCATTACAGACCTTAGTAAAATAAAGAACATTGCATTGCAATGTACTGTACAGGTGTACCTAATAAAGTGATCAGTGATAGTACTCCTGAGGGATTTTTGTAATAATTCTTGTAGCTGCCTAATGCACTTTCATGTGAATTACTAGCAGTCACTGCATAGCCATATCTCAGTAATGTAATAATATTGATAACAGTAAGGTCTAGACCTTACTTTGTAAAGTGTCCTGCGATGACTTTTGCTGTGATTTGGCGCTTTACAAATAAAATTTGATTTGATTTAATGAAACTGGTGAATACTGTAAAATAAAAAAACACAGGGCACGCACATCCAACAACAAAACTAAAGGCAACAAGCAGACAAAAGATCCGCACACTGCACTAAGCTCTGAGCAATTTTAAATAAGCAGCAATGTTTCAATCTAAAAATGATCTTTGTCAGGCATTGTTAAGTGACATCATGACTGAGAGCGATTAACACCAGAACAACAAGAACAAGACCATGGTTGTTAGAAATTATACCTTGCCTTTATCGGTGTTGTGTATTTATGCTGCAGAGGACAGAGGAGAATGATGTATTATTCTAAGAGCATATTATGAGCTCCACAGATCCAGTGTTTACAAGAGCGCCTTTCAGAATTGTTTGTATTGGATACAAAATAAAAAACACATACTTTGGAATAAGCATGAAACCTAGAGCCCTGGGCAATTAAAACCAACAACAACTAAAAAGTACTTTTAGTTGTGATCTGAAGATGTTTTTCATCCATTTTCGTACATGTATTTGTGAGTTGGAGAAAGCCAAAAGCTTTTAAACTAACATTTGCTGACAAACATGATGAGATGAACAGTTTCAGCAACCATCTTGGAGGTGGGCTAATGAAAATCAAATTTTCTATGGTCATATTGTGGGCATCAGGTCAGGTCAAGTCCAGCAAACAGTGTCCCTATGATGTTCAAATGCTAAACAGTGACAAGTCAAGTGTCATATCTGCCTTGTAAAAACTACCTGTATTCTCCAGAAAGCTGATGATACTCTATCCGTTTCTATTATTGTGTCCACTCCCTTTAAATGCATGGTAACAATATTGAGAAACAATGTAACAAAAGACCAGAAAATGTGAAAATTATTGTTGGAGTAGCAAAAGTTTGTGATGTATTTAGTTAATATGCTTGTTAGCATACCAGCATTATATGTTAGCATTACTCTCAGAGAACATTTGATGAGAATTTTATCTTTTTAGCATAGGACAAGTGTAATATTTGATCTGTCAGTAGTGCCATATGAAAGGTCAGAGGGCAGTAGAAATCAGACCAACACTGACTAGATCACATGCTGCTGAAATAACATGGCTAAAATGCTTAAAAGAAGAAGAAGAAGAAAAAGATTTACCCATTTTTATATGTTAAAAAAGCATGTTCCAAGTAAAGATGGGGATTTTTTAAAATATCTGTCCACAAAATCCCTTTTCCTGCTGCTAAAACCTTTAGTGTCTTTGCTGAAGACTTTGCAGATCCCTGTTATCAACAGCATTTTTCATAATATTCTTCCTAGTGCTCTATTTTATCCATATTGATTTCGGCTTGTGTGATACTCAAGGTGATATTTCCTGTCTTCAGTACCTCATAAAGTCACCCACATGTTATTGCCTTTAAAGGATATTTGGAAAAAAGTGTCCAAAGTCCTTTCAGAAAACCTGCCTCTTGAGCACAGTAATATTAAAGAGCTTACTTGACATTTTCAGTTAGTTTTAGCCAGAAAGCACTGTCACACTTCAGAGCCAGTTTTACTCGATCATATATTTTCTCTTTGGCTATCATGATGACTTAGCCGGAGGCGATCGCTGCCATTAGAGGGAGAAAAGTCCAATGACACAAGAGGAAACACACGCGCTTTCTGAGAGAATGTATAAACTAATAAACTATCTCGACAGCGATGAGTGAAAGAGTAAATAGAGAGCCGTAATAGTAAAGTAAAAAAAAGTTTGCATTACAGTACTTTTGAGAGACAATGCAGTGAAACATGAGAGAGAGAAAAGGGCAGAAAGAGAGCATGGAGAGGGTGACAGATAGTGTGAGAAAGGAAGAGGGAAAAAGTGAAGGAGGCAAAAAAGAGACAGAGAGAAAATACCACAAGAGAAAGAGAGATGAGGATGACTGATCTGCCTGTTAATTAGAAAAGAGAGCTGAAACACACTGCTCACAGGTACACACACACACAGACAGAAACACATTCATGGCAATTCATTCCTGAGTCCAGCCTGTAATTACCAGTAAAGTCTCAGCAGAGAATGAGTGAGGCTCATGGGTTTGACTGATGAGTGCTCACACCAGATAACACAGCACACCAGAGTAGGGGAATTTTTATTCTGTGACGGCGTACTTGTTTGTGCCTAACAGCGTAATGACCCTCTTTTCTTTTCCTCTCTCCTTCTCTCTTGGCATTTATCCCTCTCTCTAATTACAGCCTCTCTCTAATTACAGATATTTATGTGAAAAATATCAGAAGACATAAATCACTGTCAAACACATTACCTTGAATGTTCCCAGCTATTGATTTGTTTCACCCATTTCAATTCGCCAATTCACCCGTTAAATAATGATTTTACCCTAAAATGTATAAACTTAATTAATCCACATAAAACGGCTGTTAATTTTTGGCATTTTTACCATTTTTAACAAAAAAAAAAAACAACCTTTTTTCCATTTCTAATAGATTTATAGCACCAAAACTTATCAGAATCATGGCTCTTGGTCACCTGACTAAAACAAAATGTGTAGTTATTCCATGAATATATAAACTTTATAAAACACTTCATATTAGCAAATTTTGGAAATATCTACACTAGATCATCTCCATTATTTTACTCTCCCTTCATCTTTACTGCATCTTACTGACAAGAGTAGGCTATATCATGCAATGAGGCAGGTGCCTGCAGTCACAGACAGACATATAGACACAACACACACACACACACACACACTTACACTATAATACGATGTGACAAGGACCCTACAGTACGTGTCTGAGCACAGGCACTGCCTGTCCATCAGACACACACACACAGCTAAAGGCAAACGCTGCTGCAGCGATGAGGCGTGTGACATTGTCCTTCGGACACTCGCTGTCAATGTGTGTGTGTGTGTGTGTGTGTGTGTGTGTGTGTGTGTGTTGCATGCATGCACACTTGAGTGTGTATGCTACAGTAACGGCATGCCTTTCCATTGTGGAGCAATACAACCAACAGGGTATTGTCAGTAAATGTGGCACGTGAGAGCCCTGCATCGTTGCTCTGCCACTCTCACAGTTATTTACTTAGTCAGCCAGCCAGTCAGGAAGTAAATCATGATTTTAATACACTGGCAAACAACAAAATGTAAATGACAATAATCCTAATTTTAATGTTTCTCTAATACTATACTTTTAGAGTATCTGCATTTCCAAATACCAGAAATCTAATCTTATAGAAGTTGTTTGACAAAAGTGTTACATGTATTGCCTTAGAAATGGGAAATGAGAGCATTAGATAGGTGTACACAGCAACCACTGTAGTGGATCCTAGGAGCAGGTGATGTTTTTCAAGCTGATGAAAGAAACATGCCTATATAAGAGCTGCTATTTCTGTAAGTCGACATAACGTTTTTGAGACAATTTTCTGGCTCTGGCACAAGATGACAACTCCATTCTCAATACCGCCTACAAACCTCATACTGGCTTGTTTTTCCAGCACAGCACAGTACAACACAGCACCAATTTAATTGCTGAAAAAGTCTTTTTCAGAGTTGAGCAATGATTTAGAGGTCTGAGACTAGGCTAAACTAGTGGAGAAATATAAACTTTATGAAGAATCAGAACAGTTATAATGTAAAAACAATTAGAAGAATTTAAATTTAACATGTTTCACCCCACTGGAGCAGACGATTCTTTGCTGAAGGAGCTCAGACGGGAAACCTTGTGACTGTTCCAGTGCCCAGGCTAATGACTGAAGGTGAAAAGGATTTTTCATGGCTTCATGGATCTGGACCAACAGCCTGGGGAGCTCAGGCAGCAGTAGGCATCACATTTTAAAGGACAAGGTTTATCTTATCATCATCAACAAATCCCCACAAAAGCAAAAACCTATAGTAACAATAAATGTATTTAAAAAGACCTATGTAATCACAGCCCTATAAATCCCTCTGCTATCCAAAAACTATTAAGAACACAGGGAAGTTATACCATTGGATTTTGGTGACATATTCCTGCTTTATGATGAACAAGCAAGTGTATTGTTTCTACATTTCCGAGAACATTACGGCTTCTACGGGGCACATTTTTAAAACCCTCTGTTGGACCTCTGGGGTTGATAACAGTTGCTACAGCAGGATATCATGGTTGGTGATTTAACTCCTGGCTCCTCCTAACAGCATGCAGAGAATAACACTGAATCTCAGATAAGAGGTTCAGCACCTTGTATTGCCGCCTTCACCATCAGTAAATGACATACAGTATGAATATACTGTTTTCATTGGGCCATTCATAGTATAAATGCACCATGTAAATGCAGTCTGTGGATGTTTACAGAACATTAAAAATACACTGAACTTTTCAACATGTCATTTTCAATCAAAAGGACACTGATGTCTTTGTTTAGACAGTGGTTTTAGTGTCAAATATGTATCTCTTATTTGTCCCATTTTATTAATGTATGGCATGGGTGCATTTACTGTATAATAATAATTATCCCTTTATTAGTCCTGTTATGGGTAAATTTACACACTCACACACCGATGGTGGTGCTGCTCTGCAAGGAGCTGCTCTGGCCATCAGGAGCAACTTGGGGTTCAGTGTCTTGCCCGAGGACACTTTGATATATGCATACCATCAGTGGATGAACCCAGTTTCGGTGAGAATCATGTTTGAAACTTACTTCTGCAGATGGGTCTGTGGTCACTCCAGGCAGCCAGTGTGTCAGTGACTCGTTGACAGGTGATACTTTTAGATCCTTGTAGTACATAACTGTCATCACAACTGAACTGGACGCTGGAGCCAACTCTGGATAAGGAGACACAACAGCAGCAATGCTCGTTAAAAATAGAAATAGTAGTAACTTTGACTCTAGCTCTGACTGCTTCACTCAGTCACAGTAAGGTGGTACTGTGATATCTGTATAAAGCTCTTACATCGTTGCAGAAATCAGGATGTTTTGTAGATAACTGTAGAAATAACATACAGCACGAATGATTAATTATATTAATGAATACAGTGGCCTTTTGATCCCAGTGGAAAATAACCACCATCACTGATTATCCAGTCGGGACCTGTAATTTCTCTCTTTCTATAAGACACTTTTATAATTGTATCTTTTCCTTATTGTCTGCTTGACTTTGCTGTTCTCTGCTCTATTTTCTCCACTTGTCATGCTTTCCCCTCTCTCTCATCATTTGTTCTGATCATTTGTGTTGTCTCAGTCTCTCCAGCACCCTGCTGTCTAACATGTGAGAGGGACATTCAGCCATGTAAGTGGATGTCTGCATGGTGTCTTGTCTGTAAAGCTTAATGTCTCCTCCCTGCTGATATACACCACAGTCTACCACCTGGCCAAACATTCACTATGCAGGGTTCCGGTTGCTCAGTCGCTCCACCCTGTTGTTAAACACTGAAGAGTTGTACAGGCTGGCCAAATCTCTGCTAGTGCCTTTGTCACAGAGAGTTGGGCCACTCACTTCACAGCTTCTGCTACCTCTACTGCTGATTACACTGAAAATACCTTACATCCAACTGTTCACTCTGAACATAGCAATTCCAGTAAAGAAAACTTCATCGTTATTGCCGTTTCCTTGAAAAGAACCAAAACCTTTCCTTCGCAATTGTGTAAGTGGTTGTCTGTGGACCCAAACTGCCACAACACCCTCTTTCAAATTTCTCTGCAGGTATGTTCTTTCTCCAGTTTTACTTTATCACACCACAATTCTGTCTGAGCTCCTGTATCCTGGCGCTTAATGGTGATTAGATACAAACCTGCAACATACACCAAACACAAAAACACTTGGAGGTAATGACCTTTCACTTACTCAGCCAACTCTATTAATGGTCCTGAACAGTTTGTGCTGTCACTCTTGGTAAAGAAGAGCACCAGGAGCTGGGGCTTTAAAAATAATTATTGTTTTGGCCTGAAAATGTCTCAGAAAAAGGTAAAAATGGATTGTCTGTCTTGACACTCTTATAAATCATAAGAGAAACATAAGAACAATTTAGCTTCCACTGATTCTAAACAGATGAGTCGTAGGGAGAGGTGATTATTTTATAATTGCTCACTCCTGATTAAATTAAATTATGTCTCCCTTTCTACTGATTAGATGACAGACAGCATAAAGTGCACCATTTAAAAAGCCCCATGTCCACCAAGTCCTTGTTTATTTGCTATGATCTTACTTCTGAAACAATCATATATGAGCAGGGACCCTTACAAAACCCTAGGGGGTGATTAGTCATGTAAATACTGATAGTGTGTCTTTGAAAAGAGGAAGCTACTAATAGTGATTAAACATGATAACACACAGTGAATGATGTAGAACAGATTCAGCCTTCTGTTGGCTTGGAACTGCAGTTTCAGACCTGCAGCTCTGAAACTGAATGTAACATGCCAACCTCTGCCACCTGCTGGCAATTTGAGTAACAGCAGAATCAGTCTAGACTGAGACCCGGCTGTGCACGTGCATGTCATCTACAGGCAAAGAAAGTAATGGCTGCTGAAATATACATACTTGTGCCACTTGTGGTAATGGAGGGTTAAAAACTGTAGCAAGCTACAGATTACCTGGTTGTGGCAAACTGTACAAAATCCAGCCTCCAGTCTAAAGTTAGCGTTAGATGACTAATGAGTAAAGGTTTCAATCCAGTATAATGGCCTGGTTATTGCAAATATGACACAAAGCACTAACATTACACAAAACACAAATTACTCCCAAATTACCATCACATTAATAAAACACAGAGATAAAATCAAGAACATGCTAGGTCAATAATGTTACCAAAAAGAGCGCGTTAGCTTTAGCTGAAGGAAGAACACCACATCCGAACCAAATTTAAGTCCTCTGACTCCCTTCTTTACTAAGAATAATTAAAGATACAAAGTATATATGCTCCCTGGTGAATTGTAGCAGGTTGAGTGAGGGAGACTCTGTACATGTACACACAGTCCTGAGAAGAGCTTTTTTTTAGCCAGAATAAAACAAAAATCACCTTTGCAGGTGCAGCAGGAGTGTGCAGAGCTTTTAAATCAAGTCACTGATAGTACAAAAGGGAATTAAATGATAAACACATTTGTAAAATCCTGACAGCTAACATTTAGTTTTAAAAACACGAGCTGGATTTTAAATATTTGAGATTTTCTTGCACTAAATGCGACATGTACACACAAGGGGTGAAACACACACACACACTGAAAACAACAGTTTTGGCAACATCAACATGTCTGTATATACAGGTTGAAATGACTTCCACATAATTTAGTCTGGCAAGCACTAATGGAGAACTTTGATAAGGATGTCCCATGCTCACTGGACTAATTCTGGGCCTAGAACAGGGGCAGAGTGGCACTCACTCTCAGCATCACTGTGCTTTCTTAAGAAATACCCTGTAATCTCAACTGGACACTGAGGTCACACTGTGTGTAACCTCAAGATAATCTGGGCAAACAGAAACAGCCTTATTTCAAACATGAGGACTCATGAGGCATAAACTCATCTTACCAGTTTTCAGTCCTGGACTCCCTGAACTGTCAAACTATTCTGTACAGCTATAAAACAGGGTGGGATGGGACCAACACACACAGAGTAAAGACAGACTGTGTGCTTTCAGTAGTACAACACCGTTCAGCCTGGAGCAGGGCTCAGTTTCTAGATGACTGACGGTAATCAGCTCCAAGAACATACCAGCTCAGCAGGAGTTCTCCTGATCCTTCTGATTACAACATGTATTGTGCTGACAACAACCACACTGCTCTGAAAATTAAAACAACACAACATAAACCAAACAAAAAATTCACATAAACTGAGTAAGCATTCTTCAGCACACATCTCATCCAAATGATGTAATGACTTGTGCAGGTTTGCAGATATAATCCACTGCAAGAAATGTCTGTAATCTGGTTTCCACTGTATGTGTCTGACAGGCATGGTCAAAAGATCAGCAATGTCTAAAGCACTTGTGGATGTTTTAAATATACTTGATTTGACTGAGTGACTGGGAGCTGAAATAAAGTACAAAGTGAACTTACTGAAAGGTAGAGCCCATCCTCTTTCCATTTTCTGGAACTCCAGGATCTGGACAAACATCACCAGCAAGGCCGCTTTGACTCACTG